TGAATCTCCTGAAGTTGGGAGTTTGAGACCAGCCTGGCCAACATGGAGAAACCCTGTCTCTACTAAAAATATAAAAACTAGCCAGATGTGGTAGCACATACCTATAATCCCAGCTACTTGGGAGGCTGAGGCAGGAGAATCACTTGAACTTAGGAGGAGGAGGTTGCAATGAGCCAAGATTGAGCCACTGCACTCCAGCCTAGACAATGGAGAGTGAGAATCCCTTCTTTATAGCCCTTTAAACAATTCAATACTGCCTGTTAACAATGATTATGGGCCGGGTGCGTTGGCTCAAGCCTGTAATCCCAGCACTTTGGGAGGCCGAGGCGGGTGGATCATGAAGTCAAGAGATCAAGACCATCCTGGTCAACATGGTGAAACCCCGTCTCTACTAAAAATACAAAAAATTAGCTGGGCATGGTGGCGCATGCCTGTAATCCCAGCTACTCAGGAGGCTGAGGCCGGAGAATTGCCTGAACCCAGGAGGCGGAGGTTGCGGTGAGCTGAGATCGTGCCATTGCACTCTAGTCTGGGTAACAAGAGCGAAACTCCGTCTCAAAAACAAAACAAAGATTATGTATTTCTTTTTCTTTTTCTTATTTTGAAAAAGACTGAAGTATTATGAGAATTACCAAATGTGACACAGAGACACAAAGTGAGCACATGCTGTTGAAAAGGGTGCTGATAGACACTCTTGACACAGGGTTGTCACAGACCTTCAATTTGTGGAAAATGTAATAAAGCAAAGCCCAATAAAACAGAGTATACCTGTATTTGAAAGTTAAAATATGTTAAGTACTTTACACAGATTATCTAATTTAATTACAACAACCTTATGAAATAGTTATTATACCCACTTCATATATGAGGCATCTAGACAGAAATCCCAGGCTGCACTGCTTACTAACTGTAAGCCTGGATTTATGTCTACTGTAGAAGCATCCTTGATGATATTACCTGTCTTAGTGCATTTGTGTTGCTACAAAGAGGAGCTATAAAGAAAAGAGGGTTTTTTTGTTAAGGGTAGGAGGAGCAGTCTTGCTCTGTCACCCAGGCTGGATGGAGTGCACTGGTGTGATCATGGTTCACTGTAACCTTGACCTACAGTGAAGTTATTCTCCCACCTCAGCATCCTGGGTAGATGGGACTATAAGTGGTTACCAAGTGGATACCACTGCACCCAGCTATATTTATTTTAAAAAAATTTTTTTGTAAAAATGGGCTTTTACTATGTAGACTAGGCTGCTCTTAAACTCCTGGTCCCAAGCAATCCTTCTGCCTCAGCCTCCTAAAATGTTGGGATTACAGGCATGAGCCACCATCCTGACCAAAAAGAGGTTTCTTTGGCTCACGGCTCTGCAGGCTCTACAAAAAGCAGAGTGCCAGCATCTGCTTGTGGGGAGGGCCTGAGACTGCTTCCACTCACTGCAGAAGGAACAGAGACCTAGCATGTGCAGATCACATGGCCAGAGAGAAGCAGGAAAGATGGGAAGGAAGTGCCAGATTCTTTTTCACAACCAGCTCTTGGGGGAGCTCTGTCACCTAGGCTGGAATGCTGTGGCATCATCATGGCTAGAATTTCTGGACTCAACCAGTCCTCCTGCCTCAGCCTCCCAAGTAGCTGGGACTAAAATTAACCATGCCTGGTTAATTTTAAAAACATTTTTAGTTGAAACATAGTCTTGCTAGTTTGCTCAAGCTGGTCTTGAAATCCTGGCCTGAAACAATCCTCCTACCTGGGCCTCTGAAAGTCTTAGGATTACAGGCATGAGCCACCATGCCCACCTGGGGATCAAATTTCAAATGGGATTTGGAGAGGACAACATCTAAACTATAGCACTACCCTTTACATCACTTAATGTTTCTTAGTACAACTATCTTTGGGAGAAACCGATTTCTAAGTGTTGCTTTTATTTTATGAAAGTTGTATATTTTGTGTAAGTAATTAGGTTTTCTCCTTTGCATAAACCACTATTAAATAAATACATGACTGAATGAGTGGTCAATCTAGGTAAGTCTATAGGATTCCAAAATAAACACTATTATATTAGCCTCATTTCTGGCTTAATTTTATGGATAACTTTTCTCTTTCTCCCTTCTACTTCATATTGTTTTACTCCATTTTGGATGCTTGGTAACGACCTGAGATTCTTTTTGAAATAAAGATCTCAGAGACAGGTGGCCACATACAGTCACCTCCTGGGGAAAAGCAAATACCTTCAGTTAGTGTATGCCATTTTTAGGTTGCTTTATCTATAAGGAAGAAATTGAGGTCTAGGGCTGTGCTGTCCTAGTGCTTTAATTCATATAGATGTAGAGTCATGATCCTCCTGCATGGCTTCTGGGACTACCTTTCTGGCCTGCTACATTCCTTGTATCTTCCTCCTGTGATCTCCCACCCCAAAAACATCTCTATAGTAGCAGGTCCACTTGGGAGTGAGTTGAAGCAGAGGCTTCCAGAATTCACATCATAGAAAATGATACTACACAGGCCAGGTGCAGTGGCTCATACCCGTAATCCCAGCACTTTGGGAGGCCAAGGTGGGCCGTTTGCTTGAGCCCAGGAGTTTGAGACCAGCCTGGGCAATGCAGTGAGACATCATCTCTACAAAAAATAAAAAGGTAGCCAGGTGTGGTGGTGCATGCCTATAGTCCCAGCTACTTGGGAAGATGAGGTGAGAGGATCACTTGAGCCCAGGAGATCGAGGCTGCAGTGAGCTATGATCATGCCACTACACTCCAGCCTGGAAGACAGAGTGAGACCATCTTAACAAAAGGAAAAAGGAAAGGAAAGGAAAGAAAAATTATACTATGTGGTAAATGACTATACTCAAAATAGCGTTTAACAATTGGTCATAATTAAATTATCTCTAAGGAACATTTCATTGTTAAGATCTAATGGGCACGTGCTTGGATAGACTCAAATTGGCGAAGGATTTTGTACATACCCAGAAAATCATGGGATGTGCCGTGAAATCACTGAAAAACTTTCTTTTTTATTTTCTTTTTTTTTGAGACAGAGTTTCACTTTTGTTGCCCAGGCTGGAGGGCAATAGTACAATCTCAGCTCACTGCAACCTCCACCTCCTGGGTTCAAGCGATTCTCCTGTCTCAGCCTCCCGAGTAGCTGGGATTATAGACATGGGCCACCTTGCCCGGCTAATTTTGTATTTTTAGTAGAGATGGGTGTCTCCATATTGGTCAGGCTAGTCTTGAACTCCCAACCTCAGGTGATCACCTGCATTGGCCTCCCAAAGTGCTGGATTACAGGTGTGAGCCACCGTGCCTGGCTGAAAAACTTTCTTTTCCTCAAGGAGTGAGTCTTAACCACCGCACACGGCTGGTAGCTTTCTTAACTATCATTTGCTTTCCTTCCTTATCCAACAATCTGCAAAGTTCTAATATGTCTTCTAATAAGCAAATCAACTGATTTCCTAGTAATGGGCCATCCCTAATATTTATGAGGATGGATCAGGAGTATACACAGGGGCCTAGACACCCTATACCTAAATATTTCAAAATTATAAATCAAATGAACAAAGTGTTAAATAAGGTATATTCTTTTCTCCTGCCTTGATAAATATACCACCATAACAACTCATAAGGTCAGGCTCAAATTTAAAATCTTAGAATCCGTCGGAGTTCTGTACTGGTCTCTACTCTCTGCTCTGGTCTGTTAGATACTGCCCAGTACATTGCATTGGGTTGAGGCAGATAGGTCCCTGTCCTTCTCAGGAGGAGAGTAATCGAACTAGATGGTTGTGGGAGGAAGTCTGATTTGGTAGGCATAACATGACATCCAAAGATCAAGGCTGTGGCCTGCAAGGAATTGTCCTGAAAATCTTGGCATCAAAACATTCATTTTTCCAGGCAGGCAATGACCATATAGTGACTGAATCCCCTGGCAAACATAAAGGAAGTATATCCACAGGTGCAGTGTTCCAGGTCTTCAGATCGGGGTTCAGAGACAAGTCTTTTTTTCTTTTGATACAGAGATTTGCTTTTGTTGCTCAGGCTGGAGTGCAGTGGCATGATCTTGGCTCATTGCAACCTCTGCCTCCTGAGTTGAAGCAATTCTCCTGCGTCACCCTCCCAAGAGGCTGGAATTACAGGCGCCCACAACCACGCCTGGCTAATTTTTTGCATTTTTAGTAGACACGAGCTTTCATCATGTTGGCCAGGCTGGTCTTGAACTCCTGACCTCAGGTGATTCACATGTCTCAACCTCCCAAAGTGCTGGAATTATAGGCGTGAGCCACCGTGCCCAGCCCAGGGACAAGTCTTGAGTAAACATTCAGCAATGTGTATGGGTAATAATGAGTCAGAGTCCATTCCTTAAGGCACTCGGGTGGCCAGGTTTCCAAAACTCAGACGTGGTCAGTTAGGGCCAAAGGGGATATGAGACTCCAGAGCAATACCAAATGTCAATCCTCAAAAAGGGGACACAAAGCCAAAGCTAGGCCAGCCACTGAGAGTTGGGAAAGCACTTCTTCCATTTCTCTCGGTTAAGGTGAAGACTGTTCCTACAAATAAGATCAGAGTTAAGCCTATGTGGACCCAGCAGTGAAGGAAGGCAAGTTGCAAAGGTTGAGAATCAGGGAGGACCTGATAAGGAAGCTGAGCTGGCTTTGTCCCAAAAAAGTTTCCTACACGCTCTGGAAAACCCAACACAGGCTGGGTACGGTGGCTCACCTGTAATCCCAGCACTTTGGGAGGCTCAGGTAGGCAGATCACTTGAGGCCAGGAGTTCAAGACCAGCCTGGCCAACATGGCAAAACCTCATCTCTACTAAAATACAAATATTAGCTGGGTGCCATGGCATGTGCTTGTAATCCCCACTACTCAGGAGGCCAAGGTGGGAGAATAGCTTGAACCTGGGAGGCAGAGGTTACAGTGAGCCGAGATCATGCCACTGCACATCCAGCCTATGTGATAGAGTGAGACTCTATCTTACCAAAAAATAAAAAATAAATAAATACATAAAAGAAAACAACAGGAGATATATGAATAGGATTTTTATTAAGGGTATCTGGTCTGTGGCTACAATGTTACATTTTGCTGTGCTTGACAGATTTTTTACCATTGAGATGTTTATGGAAGAAAGTTTGAATTTGCTTCCAGGCATCTACCTGTGCCTTTGAGTGAGCCTTTGGCTCACCTCCATAGACGACTGCTTCACCCAAAACTGCATGCACAGAGATTCTAGAAGGAGGAAAATAAGGTGGGTTAATAGAATGACCAGTGCCTGGGTAACAGATTATCTGGGGTCTTTCTTTCCCATGGGCTTGTAACCTTTCAGAGGCTATCTGAGCGTAGAATTCACTCTTCCAGCCTTGATCATCCATGCCGACAATAATCAAGAAAGGCCCCTGGACCTTTTCCAATGGAATAAGACTTTGGTGATTGCGTTCCTCCAATGGATTGCTCCAACTGTCCATCATATTGAAAAATCCTGACTTAGTGATTTTTATTTTTCCTGTATCACTGACAAGTTTAGGAATAATCATATCCCTGTAATGCAGAGGAGCTATTGTGTTGGCTACACAGGCATTAATAACTACAGTGGCTGTGATGCCCTTCAAGAAAGAAGCCATTGAGAGACACAGGTCGCCTCCTTTGGAAAATCCAAGAAGCCCAATACTAGGACCTTTCACCTGTTGAGGAAAAAGAGAAAGAAAACAACAAGCTTAGAATTCATAAATGGAGGTTACAGACAGTGATTTTACATTCTCTAAGTAGCTTTCTTTCTTCCTTTTTTTTTTATTTTTGAGATGGAATCTCACTCTGTCACCCAGGCTGGAGTGCAGTGGCACAATCTTGACTCACTGCAACCTCCGCCTCCCAGACTCAGGTGATTCTCATGCCTCAGCCTCCCGAGTAGCTGGGATTACAGGCATGTGGCACCACGCCTGTCTAATTTTTGTATTTTTAGTGGGGATGGCGTTTCACCATATTAGCCAGGCTGGTCTCAAACTCCAGACCTCAAGTGATCCGTCTGCCTTGAGACCTCCCAAAGTGTTGGGATTATAGGTGTGAGCCACCGCGCATGGCCAGTAGCTTTCTTAACTATCATTTGCTTTCCTTCCTTATCCAACAATCTGCAAAGTTCAAATATGTCTTCTAATAAGCAAATCAGCTGATTTCCTAGTAATAGGCCATCCCCTAGTATTTCTGAGGACTCATCAGGAGTATACACAAGGGCCCAGACATCCTATACCTAAACATTTCAAAATTATAAATCAAATGAACAAAGTGTTAAATAAGGTATATTCTTTTTTCCTGCCTTGATAAATATACCACCATAACAATTCCTAAGGTCAGGCTCAAATTTAAAATCTTGGAATCCACTGGAGTTCTGTACTGGAACGTGACATGGGGAGAGCCAGTCCCTGGATCCTGCACCACACTTCCATTCCATCCCTGGCTTCTTTGTGGACCTTAAGGGGCCTTTCACACATGTGTGTGGACACCCCAGCCTGCATGTTTAAGGCCTAGGTATATATATATATACACTGACGAACTCAGAAAAGAGGCTTAGGGCCTGGAAGCAGGATCAGAGCTGTTTGGCAGACAATTTTGGTCTATCCCAAGAACCCTGGGGATTGTGAGGAAACCCTGAAGAGTATCTTATATCTTAGCATTGGCATGTCTGGGTCTCTTTAAACCTGGATGATAACAGAGTATCATCCATTTTTAGTTATACCGAAGTGTTTTTGTTGTTGGCGGTGGGTTTTTTTTGAGATGGGGTTTTACTCTCGTTGCCTAGGCTGGAGTGCAATGGTACAATCTCAGCTCACTGCAAGCTCTGCCTCCCGGGTTCAAGCAATTCTCCTGTCTCAGCCTGCCAAGTAGCTGGGATTACAGGCGTGCACTACCATGCCCTGCTAATTTTTGTATGGTTTCACCATGTTGACCAGGCTGGTCTCAAACTCCAGACTTCAGGTGATCTGCCTGCCTTGGCCTCCCAAAGTGCTGGGATTACAGATGTGAGCCACCCCAACTGGCCAAAACATTTTAATTAACTAATTTTTTCTGTTATCAGATAAGGACTTTCTTTATAAAACCATAATATTATCATACCCAACAAAATTAATAATGATTACTTCATATCATCAAATACACCATTCTTATTCAAGTGTCTCTAGTTGTCTTCTTTTTTGAGGTGGAGTTGTACTGTCTCACTGTCTCACCCAGGCTGGAGTGCAGTGGCATGATCTTGGCTCACTGCAACATCTACTTCCTGGGTTCAAGTGATTCCCCTGCCTCAGCCTCCTGAGTAGCTGGGACTACAGGTGGACACTAGTTTTTCGTATTTTAGTACAGACAGGGTTTCACTGTGTTGGCCAGGATGGTCTCCATCTTCTGACCTTGTGATCTACCCGCCTTAGGCTCTCAAAGTGCTGGGATTACAGGCATGAGCCACCGTGCCTGGCCAACAAGTTGTCTTAAAAAATATCTCTTTATAGTCATTTTTTCTATATACATTTATATTAATCTTATTAAGGAGGAAAATTGAACTCCAAAGAGAGTAAATTCCTTCTTCAGACTCAAGGCCACTTAGCAAAGCCAGAACTCTTTAGTCCCATGCTCTTTGAATTTTGGTACACAATTACAAAGACAACTAAATAGTCAAGTCTTTTTTGTTTGTTTGTTTGTAGATCCAAACCAATTTTTTTTTTCTTTGAGACGGAGTCTTGCTCTGTCGCCAGGCTGGAGTGCAGTGGCACAATTTCGGCTCACTGCAACCTCTGCTTCCTGGGTTCAAGTGATTCTTCTGCCTCAGCCTCCTGAGAAGCTGGGACCACAGGCACATGCCACCATGCCTAGCTAATTTTTCTATTTTTAGTAGAGACGGTGTTTCACCATGTTGGCCAGGATGGTCTCAATCTCTTCACCTTGTTATCTGCCCACCTCGGCCTCCCAAAGTGCTGAGCCACCTTGTCCGGCCAATACTCAAGTCTTAAGGCATTAGAGAGAGAGATGGGAGAAAATAGAAATAATAATCCTAGTATAATAACGTTTTTTTGAGACGGGGGTCTCACTAAGTGTTGCCCAGACGGTCTTAAATGCCTGAGGTTAAGCAACCCTCCACCCTCACCCTTCCAGGTAGCTGGGACTATGGATGCGCATCACCATGCCCAGCTTCCATCCTAGTAACTTTTGAAGGAGACTTGGTATCTCCTGGCATGTTTCTAGTTCCCAGTGTTCAGCTGTCCATCAGCTCTACCTGCTCTCTTCTACACTCAGGTGATCACCAGAACCCACCTTTGGATGCTGCAGCACAAAGTCCACGGCTTCTTCAAAGTACTCCAGGTGTATATCATTCAGATGTTCGGGGAGGTCTTCAAATCTGAAATAAGCCAGAGCAAGCACAGCAAAACCGTGTCCCGCCAGGAGGCTGGCCCTGTATTCACAAAGGCCACCGCTACTCCCAAATAGATCAGTGATCCCGGGAGAGGGCCCCTTGCCTGGAGAACATCACAAGGAGCTTTAGATTCTCAAAACACACTAAGTAAACAAGTTTTTGAAGCCAAGGAGATTGGGGGTAGAGAGATTGGCAGAAAAAGAACAAAATGTCTTATTTTCTTAAACAATGATAATAATAATATAGAGGGATAAAAAACTACATATTGGGTACAATGTACACTACTCAGGTGAGAGGTGCACTAAAATCTCAGAGTTCATCACTATACAGTTCGTCCATGTAACCCCAAGCCACTTGTACACTAAAAGCTAATGAAATAGTTTTTTTATTTTTTATTTTTGGACAGTCTTATTTTATCGCCTAGGCTGAAGTGCAGTGGCATAATCTCAGCTCACTGCAACCTCTGCCCTCTGGGTTCAAGCCATTGTTCTGTCTCAGCCTCCCAAGTAGGTGGAATTACAGGCATGTATCAGCATGCCCAGCTAATTTTTTTTGCATTTTTAGTAGAGATGTGGTTTCTCCATGTTGACCAGGCTGGTCTTGAACTCCTGACTTCAGGTGATGCGCCCACCAGGGCCTCCCAAAGTGCTGGGATTACAGGTGTGACCCACCGTGCCCAGGCTCGTTTGTTTTTAATGAAAGCTTTTAGTCAATTCTTAGTATGTTTTTTTTTGAGACAGGGTCTTGCTCTGTCACCCAGGCTGGAGTATAGTGGCATGATCTTGGCTCACTGCAACGTCACCTCCCAGGTTCAAGCGATTCTCCCACCTCAGCCTCCCTAGTAGCTGTGACTACATGTGTGAGCCACTATGCCTGGCTAATTTTTTTGCATTATATTTTTACTAGAGGTGGAGTTTTGCCATGTTGGCTTAGCTGGTCTTGAATTACTGGCCTCAAGTGATCCACCCGCCTCAGCTTTCCACAGTGCTAGGTTTACATGCCTGAGCCACTGCGTCTGGCCCAGTCAGTATTATTTATTGAGCTCCTACTATATCCTTGGGAAAGCCTCTAGGAATATAGATATTTAGAAATCTGTAAGACCCAATTCTACCCCCAGGAATTTACAGTGTAGTGGGCAGCCATGAATTAAGGCTAAGATTGCTGAAGACCTGTAAAACTAAAGCATGGTCTCTTGTTTTGGAGAATAATCACAGAATTCAGTTTAGGGATTCTGTGTGCTGTTGCAACTCTAGAATTTATTTTTATTTTATTTTATTTATTTATTTATTTATTACACAGGGTTTCACTCTGTTGCCCAGGCTGGAATACAATAGTGCGATCTTGGCTCACTGCAATCTCCACCTCCTGATATCAAGCAATCCTCCCACCTCACCCACCCAAGCAGCTGGGACTACAGGTGTGCACCACCATGCCTGCCTGACTTTTTTTTTCTTGGTAGAGACAGAGTTTCACCATGTTGTCCAGGCTGGTCTTGAACTCCTGGGCTCAAGTAATCCACCCACCTCAGCCTCCCAAAGTGCTAGGATTACAGGCCTGAGCCACAGTACCCAGTTCAGCATTTTCTATGGTAGAGGTTTAAGTCAGCAATTTAGTTGGACGGGATTAATCTGGGGTCTTCTTTCTAGGCCACCTTTACCTAGAAAGCATCCTGTGTTTACCTAGACTAGGGTTCCTCAACCTTAGCAGTGTAGACATTTGGAGCAAGATAATTCTTTCCTATGCATTGTGGAACGTTTAGAAGCACCTCTGGCCTCTGCCTGCTAGATGCCAACAGCACTTCTCCCTTCAGGTATGACAACCCAAAATGTCGCCAAATATTGCCAAACATCGTCCCCCAGGGAAGGCGAAAAATCACTTCAGGTTGAGAACCAGGGACAGCATGTTTATGATAGAAGGGAAGGGGACTGTCAGGCAATTCTGTGTATGTTTTTAAATGATTCTAGGGCATTGCCACTCTTGTGGATTTTAGCTTCTTTGGAAGTTTGATGTGACAGGAGGCAAAAAACATTCTCGCACATCAGCTTCAGGTTTTGCCCAAATCATATTCAAACACAACCACATGGCTGGCAGATAGTGGCTCTCAATAAATAGATAACAAGTTGAATGCACTATTCAGCACAGGTAAAAACTGATAATGCCTCGGTGGGGAGGGACGTGAAACTTGGAAAGATTGGAGCAGCTACTCAGGAGGCTGAGGCGAGAAGAACGCTGGAGCCTAAGAGGCTGCACTGTGAGCTATCCAGCCATGGCACTCCAGCCTGAGCAACACAGGGCACCTAGAGACTCAGAATCCATGACAGACTTTGGAGAGAAGTAGCAAGTTCAGGGATGTTCCAGGTCACGTGATTCCCAGGACACGTAAGGAGTCGGCAGGGGTCGCAGAGCTCGACCAAGTTCCGAGCTTAAGCTACTCACCTGGCGGCAGGAAGAGCGCGGCGCGTACCCGGCCCGCACGCACCAGCTCGCGCTGCACGCCGGGCTGGAGGAAGTCGCGCTCGTGCCGCGCCTGACACAGCAGCCGCCAGGGCTCGGGGTCGTGGCCGTCCAGCACTTCCAGCTGCACGCGGACGGGCGTCCGCACGTCGCGTTTCACCAGCTGCCCCAAGGGTTTCTCTGGCTCCAACGCCCGGAGCAGCCCCATGGGCTCGAGCCCCGTGAAGCTGCCACCCAACGCGGGCGCGCGCTCCAGGTCCAGCTCCCCGCGGGCGTCGCCGTAGCGCGCGTGGGCCCGGAAGAGCGCGCCATTCTCGTCGCGCAGGGACGCGCGCAGCGACGTCCTCAACCGGCTTGTTGAGGGGCCAGGCCCCGCACGGCGATGCGCACCGGCTCGTCCCAGCAGCTGCGGCCGGCGGGCTCCAGGATCAGCGTTGCTGCCATTCCGACCTGGGTAGAATAGGGTCGACCCAACTCCGCCGAGTCAGTGGGCGGGCCTGACGGCTTTGCCCACCACAGGAAAGCAGTCGAGGGCGGAGCCCTTAACTGTACTCCCATTGGATGGGATTGAGGACAGGCTCCAAGCCGCTGCGCGGGGCGCCTAGAATTTGTGCAAACACACCAGTGTCCCAAATGATAGAATAACTGCTGAAATAAGAGTTAAATGACTAATCTGGCCGGGCCCGGCGTCTCACGCCTATAATTCCAGCCCTTTAAGAGAATGAGGTGGGTGGATCACACCTGAAGTCAGAAATTCGCGACCAGCCTGACCAACACAGCGAAACCCCATCGCTACTAAAAATACAGAATTAGCCAGGTGTGGTGATGCATGCCTATAATCCCGGCTACAAGGGACGCTGAGGCAAGAAAATTGCCTTTACCCGGGAGGCAGAGGCAGTGAGCCGAGATTGCACCCTTGCACTGCAGCCTTGGCAACAAGGGCAAAACTCGGTCTCAAAAAAAGAAAAAAGTGAATGACTATCCCTGCAATCCAACGTAGTAAGTGTCGAAATAGAGGAACGAAAACCACTGAGAGGTAAAGGATTGAGAGAGATACAGTTCAAAAATTTAGATTTTGAAAAAGCATCCCAGGTGATTGTATTCAGGTGACGCGTGGAGAAACATGGTCATAATTCACCCCTTACCCTTCGGTCCCTTACCAAGCTTTTTTTCCTAGAGCTAATGGTACCTGAAGAAAGCTGATGTTTGGGGAGGCAGACCTGGCAGAGTTCCGGTCTGACCGTGATCCTTAATACTAAAACCTGATGATCTTTAGCAAGAAACATAACCCTCTAAATTCAGTTTTTGTTTTTGTTTGTTTATTTGTTTGTTTTGACAGAGTCCTGCTCAGTCGCCCAGGCTGGAATGCAGTGGTGCAATCTTGGCTACTGCAACCTCTGCCTCCCGGGCTCAAGTCATTCTCCTAACTCAGCCTCCCAAGTAGCTAGGATTACAGGCACCCACCACCATGCCTGGCTAATTTTTGTATTTTTAGTAGAGATGAGGTTTCACCATGTTGGCCAGCCTGGCCTTGAACCCTTGACCTCAGGTAATCCTCCCGCCTCAGCCTCCCAAAGTGTTGGGATTACAGGCGTGGGCCACCGTGTACAGCCTGAATTCAGTTTTCTTATCTGAACAGGCTTATTGTGACCATTAAATGGGCTAACGTGTAAAAACTATACTAGCACACCTATAGGGTTAGTACCCAGTGAAAATTTTGTTTCGTTTCTCAACTCACAAATCTAATCGGTGTTAGAGTCCCTTTTGGATTGTATGCATACAGAGTTCTAACAGTAAGTAAGTGGCACTCTCAGCCTGTGTAATTGAGGAGAGTTTTATAGAGGTACTATCTACAAAGGCATGGACAAGGTTTAAAAACAAACAATGAAACAAGATTTGTGTAGAACCCTGAATCTGAAGGTTCAAGGAAAGGGGGCTGTCTGGCAGGAGCTGTAGCTTTTCTAGAGGGTATGGTTTGTGGCAGGAAGGAGGAGACTAGAAATTCCTTGACTCTCCTGTTTTTCAGTATCTTGCTAATGCCTCTTTTTGGCCAAACCCAACCATACAGCTCAGCCTAGCTGGGAACATAGCAGGGTAGAGAAGGGAGAAGAGCATATAGTGACACCCAGCTCAATAAACATGTATAAACTGAACAAAAAGGTATTAGACTACATGAAGTTAAGTTCACTGTGTGCTGGTTACCAACTTGTTTGAATCCAGTGAGACAAAACAGATTCATATATTTAATACAACAATGTACATTAACTGGATTTATTACTTACAGATAGGCAGCAAAGGATGACAGAAGCCTAAGAATCGTTGCAAACCAGTCCTCCAGGGCTCAAGAATGCTGCGGGGTGATGGAGTCTCATGTGCATGTGCCCACTTGCACTGCAGCTGCCCTGAGTTTTATAATCTGGGGTGGGTCATATGACTGCTGGGCTAAAGCACTGGAAGACATCCTGTTTGTAGGGAGGGTCTGGGATAGAGCCAGGGCCATTCCAGCCATCCATCCCTATCTTGGGATGTTACATTTCCATCACATTCTATGGTTATTTTTGCGAACTACTAGTGAGAAAGAGGGGAGAGCTGAGTCAGTCTAAGGCCAACCAGAGAACTGCCCTGTAGTCTGTCCCCAATCCAGGTATCTCCCTTAGCAAACCTAGTACATTTCATAGGCCCTCCAGACTCCCAGGATCTGGAGGCAGAGGTTTGGCTGATCTTATTAATGTGGCACTTCAGCCAGGCATGGTGGCTTACACCTGTAATTCCAGGGCTTTGGTAGCCTGAGGTGGGCGGATCACTTGGGGTCAGGTGTTTGAGACCATCCTGGCCAACCCCATTTCTACTAAAAATACAAAAATTAGCTGAATGTGGTGGTGCACGCCTGTAATCCCAGCTACTTAGGAGGCTGAGGAAGGAGAACCACCTGAACCCGGGAGGTGGCAGTTGCAGTGAGCCCAGATCGTGCAATTACACTCCAGCCTGGGTGACAGAGCGAGACTGTCTCAAAAAAAAAAAAAAAAAAAAAGTGACACCTTAACTGACACAATCTCAGTGCAATATTATTAAGCCATCAGAATACATTTCACTAGGTCGAGGAGACTACTATGATAAGCAGGATGATCAGGCTTGCTTGGAGCCTTGTGGCCTTCCCCCAAGACCTAGTGATCCAGGTAAGAAGTTGCTAAGAGGTCCAAGAATGATTGTTTGTTTGTTTGTTTGTTTGTTTTGAGATGGAGTCTCACTCTGTCGCCCAGGCTGGAATGCAATGGTGTGATCTCTGCTCAGTGCAACCTCTGCCTCCTGGGTTCAGGCGGTTCTCCTGCCTCAGCCTACTGAGGAGCTGGGATTACCAGCCCCCACCACTATGCCCAGCTAATTTTTATAGTAGAGATGGTTTCACCATATTGGTCAGGATGGTCTCTTAACTGCTAACCTCAGGTGATCTGCTTTCCACAGCCTCCCAAAGTGCTGGGATTACAGGTGTGAGCCACCGAGCCTGGCCAGAAAGATTCTTTAGGTAGCCACTCTGACTGCGGTCAGCAGGCCTGCTTTCAGATCTCCTCTACCTGTGTCTCATCCATGCCTGAGACATTATCCAGGTAGAACAGAAGGTGTTTGCAGTGGCACACACTCCTCCCTGTCATATAAAACAGCCTTCCTAAGCATTTGAAGGGTGTCTCTGGGCTGCCAAGGCAGCAGCACTGGAAGCAACAATATCATGAGCACTGACTCCTGTGCCTGGTACCAGAAATCTCACAGAAGATCAAAACCCAGAGTCAGCCACTACCTGGCAGGTTCCTAATAAGCATGGTGCATACTTTTAGGCTGCTGGACCAATAATGTGTCTTGTTCCCAGGGGTGATATGCAGGAGCACCCCCAAGCATGTCCAATGTCCAGGATTCCATGATCTGCCAGCTTTCCAGGTATGACGTTGTCCATCCCATGTTTGGCTCACTCCCAGATCACCCACAGAGGAAGAGGCAGTTTTCAGATGCACACTGAATCATTTTATTCAGTGACCCAGTCATGGCTATGGAGGATTGGTATTCACCAGGCAATTCTCATTGATGGAATAGTGACATAAGCTCACTCTCCCCCATACAGTCAATATTGTTCACAAAACCTATGCACAGAGGGCTAGCATTACACCTGATATGGTTTGGCTATGTCCCCACCCAAATCTTATCTTGAATTGTAGTTCCCATAATCCCATATGTCCAAGAGGAACTTGGTGCGAGGAAATTGAATCATGAGGGTGGTTAGCCTCATGTTGTTCTCGTGATAGTAAGTGAGTTCTCATGAGATCTGATGGTTTTATAAGGGGCTTTTTCCCTTTTGCTCAGCACTTTTTGTTGCTGCCATGTTAGGAAGAACATGTTTGCTTCCCCTTCTGCCATGATTGTAAGTTTCCTGAGGCTTCCTCAGCCAAGTTGAACTGTGAGTCAATTATAACTCTTTCCTTTGTAAATTACCCCATCTCAGGTATGTCTTTACTAGCAGCGTGAGAATGGACTAATACAATAAATTGGTACTGCAGAGAGTGTTGCACTGCTGTAAAGGTACCCAAAAATGTGGGAGTGACTTTGGAACTGGGTAACAGTTCCAAAGTCTGGAACCTCTGTTGGCACCATTTAGAGGGTTCAGAAGAAGGCAGGAAAGTGTGGGATTGTTTAGAACTTCCCAGAGACTTGGAGGGCTCAGAAGACAGAAAGATGTGGGAAAGTCTGAAAGTTCCTAGAGACTCATTAAATGGCTTTGACAAAAATGCTGATAGTGACATGAACAATGAAGTCCAGGCTGAGGTGGTCTCAGATGGAGATGGGGAACTTCTTGGGAACTGGAGTAAAAGTTACTTTTGCTGTGCAAAGAGACTGGTGGCATTTTGCCCCTGCTCCAGAGATCCATGAAACTTTGAACTTGAGAGAGATGATTTAGTGTATCTGGCAGAAGAAATATCTAAGAGGCAAAGAGTTTAAGAGGAAGCAGAGTATAAAAATTTGGAAAATGTACAGGCTGACTATGCTATAGAAAAGAAAACCCTGCTGGGTGCAGTGGCTCATGCCTGTGCTGCTCAATCCCAGCACTCTGGCAGGCCAATGTGGTGGATCACCTGAGCTCAGGAGTCTGAGACCAGCCTGGCCAACATGGTGAAGCTCCGTCTCTACTAATAATACAAAAATTAGCTGTGCATGGTTGTGCACACTTGTAATCCCAGCTACTTGGGAGGATGAGGCAGGAGAATCGCTTAAACCTGAGAGGCAGAGGTTGCAGAGAGCCAAGATCACATCACTACACTGAAGTCAGGGTGACAAGAGCTAAACTCCATCTCCAAAAAAAAAAAAAAGAAAAGAAAAAAAGAGTGAAGAAAACCCGATTTTCTGGGGAGAAATTCAAGCCAGCTGCAGAAATTTGCATAAATAACAAGGAGCCTAATGATAATCACCAAGACAATGGATAAAATGTCTCCAGGGCACATCACAGACCTTCATGGCAGCACCTTTCATCACAGGTCTGGAGGCATAAAAGGGAAAAATGATTTCTTGGGCTAGGTCCAGGGCCCGCCTTGCTGTATACAGCCTTGTGACTTTGTACCCTGTGTCCCAGCCACATCAGCCCTGGCTAAAAGGGGCCAAGGTACAGTTCAGGCCATTTCTTTGTTTTGTGTTGTTTTTTAGGTGTTGTCTTGCTTTGTTGCCCAGGCTGGAGTGCAGTGGCACCAATCTCAGCTCACCACAACCTCCACCTCCCGGGTTCAAACGATTCCGCTGCCTCAGCTCCTGAGTAGCTGGGACTATAGGTGTGTGCCAGAATGCTTGGCTAATTTTTGTGTTTTTAGTAGAAATGGGGTTTCACTATGTTGGCCAGGCTGGTCTTGATGATTTGCCTGCCTCAGCCTCTTAAAGTTCTGGGATTACAGACATGAGCCCCAGGGCCTGGCCCAAGTCATTTTTTTAGAGAGTGCAAGCCTCAGACCTTGGCGCATTCCCTGTGGTGTTGGGCCTGTGGATGTGCAGAAGACAAGAAGACAAGGTTTGGGAACCTCTGCCTAGATTTCAGAGAATGTATGGAAATGCCTGGATGTCCAAGCAGAAGTCAACTGCAAGGGTGGGATTTTTGTGAAGAACCTCTGCTAGGGCAGTGCAGAAGGGAAATGGGGGGTTGGAGCCACTACACAGAGTCCCCGCTGGGGCACTGCCTAGTGCAGCTGTGAGAAGAGGGCCACCGTTCTCCAGACCCCAGAATGGTAGATCCACCAACAGGATGCACTGTGTGCCTGGAAAAGCCTCAGGCACTCAATGCCAGCCCATGAAAGCAGCCAGGAGGGTGTCTATCCCCTGCAAAGCCACAGGAGCAGAGCTGCCCAAGGTTGTAGGAGCCCACCTCTTACATCAGCATGACTTGGATGTGAGACATGGATTCAAAGATCATTTGGGAGCTTTAAGGTTTAATGACTGCCCTACCAGATTTCAGACTTGCATGGGACCTGTGGCCCCTTTGTTTTGGCCAATTTCTCTCATTTGGAGCAAGTGTATTTGCTCAGTGCTTATACCCCCATTGTATCAAGGAAGTAACTAACTTGTTTTTGATTTTGCAGAAGGGACTTGTCTCAGATGAAACTTTGGGCTTGGACTTTTAATATTAGGATGAGGTAAGACTTCGGGGAACTGTTGGAAGGGCATGCTTGTGTTTTGAAATGTGAGGACATGAGATTTGAGAGGAGCTGGGGCAGAATGATATAGTTTGGCTGTGTCCCCACTCAAATCTCATCTTGAGTTGTTGTTCCCATAATCCCCATGTGTCATGTGAAGGACCCAGTGGGAAGAATTGATTCATGGGGGTGGTTACCCTCATGCTGTTCTCATGACAGTGAGTGAATTGTCATAAGATCTGATGGTTTCATCAGGGGCTTTCCCCACTTCTGCTTGGCACTTCTTGCTGATGCCATGTTGCCGGGTCTGTCTTACAGACCCTGGCCGATGGATGAAATGAGTACTTAGACACGTGTATGCAGTGTAAGAGCAGCTATGTGACTGCCTGTCTCTACTGGCCAGAAAGCCCCGAGAAACTGGAGCGCTTGCTTTTATTCAGTGCAGGCACAATGTTGAAAACCTGGAGACATCACAACCTGTAGGTAATTAACATTTATTGTTCCCCCTTCAGGGAACATCATGCATGGATGATCAAAGATCAATTCCTGGTCCACATAAGTAAACAAGCCTGTTTAAAATAAATTCCTCTACACTCCCTTGTACCTACTCCTTGCCCTCTGCCTCAGGGTTATAAAACAGCTGCCTTCAGCTTTTCTCCCCCGGAGCTCTGCAGAACCTTCTGACCTTTCAGAAAGTCTGTGTCCTTTCCCTATAGTTTTTCCCACCACTCTGATCAATCCCCTACACCATGTGAAGAAAAACATGTTTGCTTCCCCTTCCGCCATGACTGTAAGTTTCCAGATGTTTCCCCAGCCATGCTGAACTGTGAGTGAATTAAACCTCTTTCCTTTATGAAAGTGAATTAAACCTCTTCCCTTTACTCAGTCTTGGGTATGTCTTTATTAGCAGCGTGAGAAAGGACTGAAACAACACCAGTCTTTCTTTTTTGTTGTTGGCATTGGGACACTTCGTCTATGTAATCAAAGGAGCATGGAGCATCACAGTACCAGCCCATTATGGTTTTGTAGTGGTTGTAACATTTCGCTACAGAAGTCAGTTAAAACAGGGCACCTCTGGCTCCCTTCCATAAATGCCCCATTTTAACTTAATTGACTTCTGTAGCAAAACCAGCTACTGTGAGGTACTAGCCCACTAAAACGTTACAACCACCACTTCTGTAGCAAGAAGTTAAGACAGCACTGAATTCTGTGCCAGCTCTTTGCTCAGTAAGCCAAGGCTTGGATTCTGTTGGTGTGCACTAAAGTGTTAGCAATGTTGGCATAGTTTACCACTGACAGATCACTCTGATCAGTGATAGAATGAGGACCAGAATGGCAGATCCAACATTTTCTCAGGTTACTTGCAGTGGCCACAGCTTAGCATTATGCTTCCAAGCCTTTGCTGAGAATTCCTTGTGGAAAAAGAAGACTGATAGGCTAGTTCCCCACCCTCAACTCTCCTGGGGTCCGTAGATGTTCCATACCTCCTGGGGAAGGGTTGGGCTGAGTTGGTGTAGCTACCCAGTCTCTCTGTCCCTGTCCTGGGCCCACTACCTCTGTAGACACCCTTTGTCCTTGTTGCTCGACCCAGAGTTTTTGGCTTTTGTTATCTGGTCCAGAAAGGGATATTTTGCCCTAGACAAACTTGAAGTATCTTATAATGTTACTCACCTAACTAGAAGGATCAGATGTCCCTAAAACTGAGGCAGGAGAATAGGGTCTGGAAGCAGTAGATCTCGGCTCACTGCAAACTCCGCCACCCGGCTTCAAGCGATTCTCCTGCCTCAGCCTCCTGAGTAGCTGGGATTACAGGCCTGTGCCACTGCACTTGGCGAATTTTGTATTTTTAGTAGAGGTTGGGTTTCTCCGTGTTGGTCAGGCTGGTCTCAAACTTCTGAAGAGAAACAACTGGTGATCTGCCTATCTCGGCCTAACAAAGTACTGGGATTACAGGCGTGAGCCACTGCGCCTGGCTGAAAAGTTCTTAAACAGATTTCTAGAGGTGTATTTTGTCTAGTGGACTGAAGCCCACTGAGGTTTTTAGAAAATCCCACAAACTTTTTAAGAAAATTGTTCTGGCTGAAGAACAATTCCAGTTCCACCATGAGCTAGAACTCAAAAGGCAGAGTACAAAGTTGAAAGAGAAGTTTAGACTCCCCTTTTCCATCTAGGAAGCAGGTTAAATTTAATGGCTAATTAATTTTCATAAGAAAAATAAAGGTTTCAACTCAGGAGGTACAACCAAAACCCACAGAGAACAACTGACAGAGAGTAAATTGAACACTAATGAAGGAATTGGCAGCAAGTTCTGTTCTCAGGTGTGTTTCAGGGTTGCTACAGGCCAGTGACAGCTGTGTGCCACGTTTTCCCCAAGTTTGAACAGGAGTGCCTATAGGAGTTACCTTATACTTGTCGCACCATTGCATTATGGATATGTGTCTGTGAGGAGAGCTAACTTGTTTGTTTCAAAGCTGTTCAGATTGAGAAGAGTGATATCCAAGGTGCTGAACCGAAGGAACTCTCCTGAGCCTCATCTATACCTCAACCTGATACAGATGATGACATCCTGGACTTTCACCCTGAATGTGATACTATAATGAAATGAGATTTTAGGGGAGAGCGTTTATGGGTATATATTACATGTGGAGGAGTGTATGGCCAGAAGGCAGATTGCATTTTCCAAAGATGGTTACAGTGTTTCTCATTCCACATGCTCTCCTCCAGAACCTTGCCACTCTCCTTTCTTTCTTTTTTTTTTTTTTTTTCTTTTTTGAAATGGAGTCTCCCGCTGTCTCCAGGCTTCAGTGCAGTGGTGCGATCTTGGCTCTCTGTAACCCCTTACTGCTAGATTCAAGCGATTCTCCTGCTTTAGCCTTCCAAGTACCTGGGACTACAGGCAGGCACCACCATGCCCAGCTAATTTTTGTATTTTTAGTAGAGACAGGGTTCACCATGTTAGCCAGCATGGTCTCAATCTCTTGACCTCATGATCCGTACGCCTTGGCCTCCTAAAGTGCTGGGATTATACGTGCGAGCCACCGGCCTGGCCCACTCTCCTTTCAAGAGGCAGACTCTATGTTCTTCTTGAACTTTGGTTAGCCTTTGACTGCTTTGCTCCATGGAGTATGGCAGAGTGACAGTATGCATAATAGCTTCCAAGACAAGGCTGAACAAAGGTCATGTCATTCTGCCTTGCTTGGTATGCTCACCCTTGGAGACTCTATACTTTTATGGGAGGGAGGTTGGTGATGGTTGTCAACTGGGAACTCAGGAAGGGATATGATTTAGGGGGTTCTCACTTTCTTTCCATCTGGGACTTCTTGCTAATTACTTGGGCTGAGTGTCAACCCCTCAGTCAAATTGCCGCAGCCTGTGTCACTTCGAACAATGGTGATCCATTCCTACAGAGTCCTGTCCCATTTGCAGACTCTTGAGAAAAATACATGGTTAATAGAGTTTTTTTCTAAAAAAAAAAAAAAAAAGTATAATAAATGCTATGTAGTGTTGATGTCAAGGAGAGTAAGGAATGACTCCTCCAAGATTACCACACTATGATTTTCCAAGGTCTATTTTTTTTTCTCTTGAGTCAAGGTCTCACTCTGTTGCCCAGGGCTAGAGTACAGTGGTGCAATCATGGCTCACTGCACCAACCTTGACTTCCCAGGCTCAAGTAATCTCCTCCCACCTCAGTCTCCTGAGTGGCTGGGACCTCGTATGTGCACCATGTTTGGCTAATTTTTGTTGGGATTGGGTTTTGCCATGTTGCCTAGACTGGTCATGAACTCCTGAGCTCAAGCGATCTGTCCCCCTTGACTTCCCAAAGTGCTGGGATTATAGGTGTGAGCCACTGTCCCCAGCCCCAAGTTCTGTTTTTAGATCCAGGAAGTGAGAGGGAAAATAGATCAAAGTCATTCTCCTTGGAAGAGAGTAGAAACTTAACCATTTTAGAGACAGGTGGTCTCATCTCCTCCTGTTAAAGGATTCTTCACTGACCTTTACAGTGAAAAGGTCAGCTGCCTCTCCTCATATTAACACCCCTCTGTATGTCTTTAGCCAAATAAAATTCTACCCTGTTACAGTTGAACAGCAAACATTTCCATTCTTTCACAGTGATGGAAAGTCACCAGCTTTAAAACTCACCTATGACTCAAAGCATTAACTAAAAAAACACCTAGAATGAAACACAAATCTTAACAGGTGGGTATATTTTTCACTTATTTGTGTCACATACCTCTGAATCTTCTACAACAAGCATGTTACATTAGTTAAACTGATGACAAAGCTTATTCAACAAAGTTACCTAAAATATACCATTCATGACAAAGACATGGCTTCAGTGTTATATAGGAGACAGCTGATTCACATAGGGTATTGAACCCTAGAATCTGATCTTGACTCTCTCATGTCAGCAACAGACAAATACATTACAATTTAGGGAAAGCTATTTTCTGGGTACCTCCCAGGTGTTTGCAGAAGAAGGCTAGAATTTGCTTACAGGCATCCACCTGGGCCTTAGAATGAGCCCTGGGCTCCCCACCCCACATCACATGTTTGTTCACTAATGCGTGAAAGGAAGCTGGGCACAGGGGGAAGGAGGCTCGATGTGATGCCCAGTCCCAGGGTAACAGATGATCTGGGGTTTTTCCTTTCCATGGGCCTGTAACCGTTCAGAGACTGTTTGGGCATACAACTCACTCCTCCAGTTATGATCATCCTGACCAATAATGAACAGGATGGGCCTCTGGGCCTTCTCTATTGGATTCATGCTGAGGTTCTCATACCCTCCTACAAGGTCATTCCTTATATCCACGATGTCCATGAGGCCTGAGAAAGCTACCTTGATTCTCCTCGGGTCATAGTACAATGGCGGAATGCTAATCTGCTTATAGTTTATGCCTTTGTTCCCACTTGTCCCGGATCCATTGATGGAAACTGTGGCTGAGACATTCTTCAAGAATGAGGCCATTTTGAGACAAATAGCCCTAGAGAAATGCCCAAAAGCCCAATGCCTGGGCCTTTTACCTGGAAGAAAAGACGAGAGAAGAGTCGAGTCAATAACTTATCCAGGCCGGGCACGGTGGCTCATGCCTGTAATCCCAGCACTTTGGGAGGCCAAGGCGGGCGGATCACTTGAGGTTAGGAGTTTGAGACCAGCCTGGACAACACGGTGAAACCTCGTCTCTATAAGAATACCAAAAAAAAAATGCTGTTGGCAAGAAAATAAATTTAAAGAGAAAAAAAATACAAAAAAACATAGCCAGGCATGATGGCAGGCACTTGTAACCCCAGGTACCCAGGAGGCTGAGGCAGGAGAATTGCTTGAGCCAGGGAGGCTAAGTTTGTAGTGAGCTGAGATTGCACCACTTCATTCCAGCCTGGGCAACAAAGTGAGACTCCATCTCAAAACAAAAGCAAAAAATTATCCAATTCAAAAACATTTTTCTAAAATGCAAACAGAGATGCTGCTAGCTTTAATCTGGGAATTATCCACAAGAAAATCAATCTCAGCTGACAGAGAAGTTTCTTTCCATGTACAGAGTATCTGGCTGAATACCTGACAGACAAATCTTGGTTTTTTTTTTTTTTTTTAGACAGAGTCTGACTCTGTTGCCCAGGCTGGAGTGCAGTGGTGCAATCTCGGCTCACTGCAACCTCTGCCCTCTGGGTTCAGGCGATTCTTCTGCCTCAGCCTCCCAAGTAGCTGGGACTACAGGTGTGTAGCCACCACACCTGGCTAATTTTTGTGTATTTTTAAGAGAGATGGGGGTTTCACCATGTTGGCCAGGCTGGTCTTGTACTCCTGACCTCATGATCACCTGCCTTGGCCTCCCAAAGTGCTGGGATTACAGGTGTGAGCCACCACGCCCAGCCACATGACAGT